TAGCAACATTTCGGTGCCTAGCTGCCACGCCACACGAAGGCACGATGGCTGGGATACTGCCAAATCGCCCAAGCCCAGACAGGAGAAGTCGATAGGCAGAGGTCAGGTTCGGACCACGGACATAAGTACGGTCATAAGTACAGTGAACCGATTCAATTTCGGCACGTGGAACCCTAAGGATCGCTATGTGAATATATTATCCAACTTACTCAGACTGGTCTGTAATTCCCTTGCTGCGACATCCATCTTAGCTTGAACATAAGAGAGGACAGCATCGGCGAAACGTTTGCATCTTAGACTTTCCATCCAACAGACCGTGTTTGGACAATATCGCCCGGGGTGTGAATAGTTTATTACGGGCGTTTGTGCTGTCGATTTCGCTCCAAACCCTTGTGAGACAGTTGTATTTGGTTCTTTCCTCATTGGTCGAGGCATTTTTCTGCCTTTGAAAAGTCATCAGCACGAAAGAGAGAAGTTAGTTGTTAGTGAGGCTAGGTTATAGCCAATCAAACAGCCATCAGTTAGAAAAACTTGTTCAGCTGTGAGCTCAATGCTAAGTAGCATTTCTCCTGAGGACAAGTGTGTAGGAAAACGTTGGCGTTCAAAAGAACCGCTGGTTGGTGTGTGGCTGTGCATCATTGCCGATGGAGTATGTGGTTGCGAAAAGTAACTTTATCCAAACAATCCGTACATTTTTACACCATTAAAAGGATTTTAGAATAAACTTTGAAACACCGATCAAAATCGTCCAAAGCCATTTGTTAGGGGGCGAAATCAGGTAGTAGACAAGGTCCTATGATTTTACATTCTGTTATTTCTTCTATTCCGCGTGTGCGTGATGAAGTTTTCGATTACAGACGACCATTCGCCAAGTAAATTGCTTATTTTACTGGTCCATTTTTTACAGAAGTCCCGTCCGAGCTGTTGAGAGCTCATAAAGCTGTGGACTGTAAACCACTGATGATAGTCGCTCTCGACTAGACTGTTTTTGTAAGGCTAGTTCTATTCTACAGTCTGGGTCATATTTACAACTAGTTTTGCTGCTTTCATCTGTAGTTTGTCTGGAAACTTAGTTGCACTCATATTATTTATAACTATACACAAGAACCCGAACCATTTTGACGTTGATCCTCAAAAGTCACATATTTTGCTTGGCCAATGGAGCTGGACACAGTGTAGACTTGATTGTACATCGAGATCTTGAATATCGTGCGTAATGAAACGTCAAGCTACCGTTCTGTGGCACATTCAGATGGATGACGAAATAAACGAGGATCCAGCTGAACCTCTCGTTAGCATAACCTATAATGGGTGTATTTCGTTGATGTTTGTTAAGTGCACATGCCTAGTTACACAACTGTACAAATCTAAGGGTTCTCTGAGGTCCAGTCACACTCACCAACCAAGTTGCAACCCCATGAATGTCATCATGAAAATTGTAGTTGAAATCGTAATTTCTAAGAAATATCCATCTGTTTAGCCTAAAAATAACACGATCAGTATTCTGAATTCGAAACATAAGAATCAGACTGAATTCCCCAAGTAGATCAACAAGTGTAATTGACAGGCTGGGAACCCCTTTGTTGCCACAAACAAAGTCTGAAGGGAATTTGATGACATGCCGCAGATAGTTTTTACCTGTTTTTAGTCCGTTTTTGTTCATATTTTGCCTATCTCATGAAGTTGTGCAAGTAACTTCTAGCCTCTGTGTTCTGGCATCCGAGGTAATCCAAGTAAATTCTGTTTTATCGTACCCAAGCAAAGCACATTATTTATTTTGGTAGTGCTAAGTCCACCTGCAATGATGTAATCTTCCAAATTAGAGCTGCAAATTAGTATACCTTGCAACGACTCACGAACACCGGGTGGTGCAAATGAACAGGCCTGGCACCATCAATGGAGATTCAGAAAAAACTGTGAGTATGACACTTTTATTACATTGTTCTCACTTATAGTTCACACCAAAGACTATGACACCTGGATTCAAAGCAGAACTCCTCTAACTATCAGCTTGACAACGATCAAACCTTTTTCGAAATTCCTCCTGAGATTAGCTAGACTCAACTGATCTGAAAATGTTGCTCAAATCGTGGCCCCACAACGGCATCTGCCAATTATCTACCGCGATCGGCATTTTGATGATCCACATGTTATCGATCGGATGCGAACAAAACTGGCTATTTTGAAATCAATTAATTCATATGCCTTGGTGTGTATCACTTAGTTAAATCATCCGGATAGAAAGCTCAGGCACATACCTACAGTGAATCAAAAATCGATAATCATCTGTTGTTTACTGAATGTTTAAGTTCATGTAAAATCAGTGCGACAAACACTGTGCTCACAGAGGCTGATCACGTAAGCATTTTAGACAACAGTTGAACTTGCACACAAAAGTTATGCGGGTTCGTCTTTGTCGGTTTGGGCGGTAACAAAATTGTCGGTCATGACTGACTTCACAAAAACCACCATCAGTGATTATAAAATGACATCTTGTCGACGTCATAGGTGCGACGGATGTGTGGACAGAATCTGTCAGACTGTTCCGATGTGAATTTGAAGTAATGCGAACGGTACAGTGACACAATCACGTCCATCGTGCTATGCTTCGAGAGTAAGAGGCAATCGCCACTTCGGGACTCCGGCGTGTGCCGCTCACATTAGTTTGAAATCCACTTGCTCCCCTTGCACTTAGTTATTTTGGACTGAATATTTTGGTCAAGAACCCATCGTGTAGTATGCGGAATTGTCACCACGTACTATTAAGTAGTTCGGGGTCTGTCTGTAGTACAGGGTTTTGCCACGGTTTCTGGATTGCCTCAGCCGGAAGTAGACTAGCGCGTCAGAAATGGGGCAGTTTAACTCAGTCCCTATTATGTCAGGGAGAGTAAGAATATCAGTAACCAGTATTATGTGAGTTGGCCAGCTTGAGTCGAAACTTTGTCAGAAACAAACTTTTAAGTCATAAATCGAAGGGAGAGTTCAGTTATGCCCAAATAATGTATATAACCAGAGCTTGCGCACCATAAACGTCTCAGTGATCTGGTTGTAACATAATTAGGTTGATTATCAGAAGGTGACAAGCACTAACAAATGTCTGATTTACCAGAATGATGAGGATTACAAAAGTTACGTGGGCTTGAGAAAAATAAACACAGTGTGAGAAGGGAATAAGCCAAAAAGTGTCTCATCTTTCGAGGGCGGACAACTGTTGGGTGTTCCTGATTGAACTTCCACAGGCGGGCGTGCATTATCTGCAGTAGTTGTCCTTGGGAAATGTGAAGCTCGGTTGGCTTCCTGTCCTGTGCGCACCGGCGTATTTGGGCCGAGTTTGCTGCATGCAGTGTGAAGAGAGGGGTGTCCATTCGTGTTTGATGCTTGCACGAACATGAATATAACTTGACCTGATGTGCGTGAAGTTCATAAGTCTGGCGAGTGACGCAGGTGTTAGCCGCGTAAACAAAAATGGATGGGAAATCACATTGCACCTGTTGTTGGCTAAATTTGCAAGTAGGAGTGATATGAGTGTTTGTGACGCGAGCCGCGTAAACAAAAATGGATGGGAAATCACATTGCACCTGTTGTTGGCTAAATTTGCAAGTAGGAGTGATTTGAGTGTTTGTGACGCGTGATCTAGTGAGTGCTACAGACGTGGTGTGGTACAGTTCTCTAGTTAAAGTAATATCCGTGCAAGAAGTATCCCAGAGATAGAGGATGTTTCGCCTAACAGTTTTGCCATTTTAAAAGCACAACAGACCAACAAACTCTTGTTACATAATAGTTTCTAGCGCACGAGTGTGCACGAGGTTTCTGAAACACAGTTAACAAAGAGTAACAAACCGACACGCTCATTTTTGCATAAAAGCAAAGGACTCAGCATTCAGCGCAGCAGCTTTGTAGCCCGCTATCAGGACTGGAACAGAAAATGGGTCAGCAAATAGACACCTGAAAACTTAGGGTCCGGAGATGCAACAAACGAAACAACCTAGACAGTAACAACTCACACGAGATGATGCCTCATGATATAGGACGACTTGTCAACCCACCAGCTAATTTGGTACATCCCCTCGAATATAATAAACCTTGTCCTTCTTTATGTCCCTTGGTTGTGCATCCCTACGCGTTATAGCTTTGGACGCCCCCGAAACATCCCACCTACACTGAAGAGATGTTGTAACTTAATTTTCTCCACGAAGAGATATGTAATAGTCGGTCACAGGTACTCCGCTCATGAATTAGTTGAAGTTTACCGACTGACCCGCACCAGCCATCGGAGGCTGACGTAGTTGGATATAACGTATCAGTCGTCATGTTGATTTGCTCACGTGCTACAAGCCAACCAAAAACCGTCAACGTTTCGCAAGTCCTTGTAATCAGAGTTGGTCGCAGTTTGGACGGTCCGGTGGCAGGGAATTTAGGCACTCACTAGCAAACTGGTCATTTGAACAGCTGAAAAACATGGCGCTTTCCACTCAAGTCATTTGCGGCGAAATATCGAGGTATTTATGTGATTTTCTTCCAGAAAGCATTTTAAGTTCTGATATGTTGGCTTTTACTGGAAACAAATCATGCACATTCAAAGGAAAATTGCAAGTGAAAACAACCATATTGCCCTGAGATTGTTAACAAGATAAAAGCGGCAAATTGCACTCATTTGCACTCAAGGTTTGTTTTCTCGGACACTTAGTGATTCCCTCTTTTGTCATATTCTTGTTCTGCGATATTATTAGTAGTGTAAAAGGGGAGCACGTTATACTAATATCAAAAATCAGTTCTGGTCCCCGGGTCTTTATGGGAGTGCCGCCATTTTATAAAACGACTCACAAGTTTTTTAACCGATAACACGGCTCAGCTCTGTATCGCCCACTCTAAAAAAAAATTTTGTTCAGGTAATTTTTCTTTCGTCAGTGAAAATAAAAAGTGATGAAATTTTTAAAAGTTTTTGGTTTGTTTTGGTGGGAATCATTTCCACCCAGACAGCCTACTTGGGAAGTAAAAACGCTTTTGGTTTATGTATTTATTAAAAAAAAGGACAGCCTAATAAGTGACATTTGAATAAATCACAAAAAGATGAGATAGTCGGAGTCTAGTCACTGAACCTCGTTGTTGGATTATAAACCTATGCGCGGTTAGTACGCCACACGCAGACCACCAGTTTTCCGCTGTATCGAAATTGCAACGACATGAACGGTTCGTGGCTAAATTTCATCCAGTAGGAGCCGGTGAGCATAATACACTGCCATAATCGTCCGTATTCCTCATTCAAAAACTGTTGTAGTTGTTCTACAACGTTGTTCATCGCTTCTTCGTTTGGATCACCGCCACCCACCAATTCTTTGAATTTGTTAATAATAGTTTCTTGCTTGGACCATGTCATTGATGTACTGAGAATTTCAACGTCTTCGAATTGAAGTTTTTCACCGCTAGCCTCTCTGGAATTTTGAAGGTTGACCTCCTTCTTCTCTTGCTGTCTGGAAAGAAAATGAGATGGATTATAAATGCCGTCAGGAAAATGAAGCTAGCAGTTATAAGACTTTATGTTTGCATGTATTTCTCTTTTTTATGAGTGCTTCCCTGTTAGCATGAAACTGAACACACTGAATTTCGGTATCAGCCGTAAGAAAGTTTATTTGCTTTATGGGTGAAAATTGAAACAATAACTTACACCTCTTGAATGGTCAGTCCAAGTCCTCGAGCATATTCTTCAAAGGAAATCTTTCCGTCAGCATCTACATCAAACCGCTGGAGAAATTGCTGCAAAAAAGAGGGTAGATATTGTTTGTAAATCGTGCGAACAATGAGCATTTTCGCTATGCGAGGCCTGTATCAAACAGATTTTATTAACGAATATTTTTGAACACTTACATCAATATCAGCTGGGTTCAACTGGTGCTTCTGACAGAAATCAACAAGTTCTTCACGTGAAACAAAACCATCATTATTCACATCCAACAGCATGAAGCATTTCATTAATTCTTCCACCACATTGCTTTGTGCTGCTTGTTGTGTCATGTCAAATAAGACGAACAGCGACAGGAAGTCGTGAGGGAATCACTCAGTGATCACGCTCACCTACAGCTTATATAGATATGTTCAACTCATGTGTTTTGTGTAACGGGGGTTCGTGGTAAATTAAATGCGCCAAGCACGGAAGGGTGTGAGTAAGCATGTCTTGAATGGCTGATTGCAAGCTTTCATAACACATCTGAAGTTAGACAGCACTAATACACCAAGCGGAAAGACTGCGTGATTCACCGCAAATAATGAGTGGTCCTCGACAGGTCACATGAGATGTTTGGGATAGCCTCAGTATCCTCATATGAAGTATCTTAATTCCCTTATCGTTCATGGTAGCAATAGCGAATTCCTGTGATGATCATCGTAGCAATGGATAACGTCACTAAAAGGCAGAACCAACTTCTATACCTCATGGTCCGAAAAATCTGTCTCTGACAGCTTCAATTTTTGTGATTATTACTGCATTTGAAGTTTCCGTTGATGCTTTCTGTTATATAGCACCATATTATTTAGCATCATCATGATCATCAAGAACAGCATCAATGTTGACACTGACACTTCACTGTCATACAACCACAGGGTTCGTCTGATCACATATATAATTATATTAAAAGCCCTAACGTGCAAAGAAAAGAGAAAGAGTGGTGGGGAGAGGGGACCTAGTGCTGGTCTATGTCAAGCGTTCTGAGGCGCCTACACCTCTAACCACTCAATCAGACAATCTGGGTATAAACTGACAGCACGGACGCACTGACAACGAGTAGCCACCATTTCCTGCACCGTCTCCAGCCAAGCATAGGCGGGGTTACGGGGACCCCATCTTGAAAGGTGTACAATATCAACAACACCCAAACTCTTCTTGATCTCCTTCATGCCCTTTTGCCAAGTCATGCGCTGTCCACCACGCGGTTTGCGCCATCCTCAAGGGGGGGGGCACGGAGAACAACATCTGCCTCGGTAGACGGTGTTTTGGCGGGCGTAACACATGACCGATCGATCTTATTCGGTGGTCCCAGATATTTTCCCCAATTGAAGAACATGCCGCACAACTGAATACCCATTTTCTAATCACGTTGTTACTAACACGCTGACGCTATCCAAAACCAGCCACGGTTCTGAGGCATTGGTGATAAAAAACCTGAAGAAGCCTCACAGTATCTGTCTGCAGAGTCCATGTCTCACACCCATACAACAACACAGCCCCTAATGTAGCCTGGAACACACTACCCTTAAGATCCAGTGAGATGCCTCTTTGACGCCACAACTGACGCCAGTTAGCAAATATGATTCGAGCCTTTGAGGTTCTTGCACTGACCTCTTCATAAACACTTCCGTCAGAGCTAGTCGAACGAATCAAGTGGAACAGTTTGCGCACGTTTCCAGCATTCTCTGAATCTTCCATTTCTTCGACCTTTCGGGTCCACCAAGCTTCTCGGTCTGCGCGGACACTCAGTTCCACCTGGCGTCGGAGGATGCGCCTGGCGGAGTTGTGGTGGCGACCAGGTGAAATCTGTCGCCGGGTCTTCAGCAAAGACGGTTCTATCAGAGATCCAAGGCTTGGATGAGGTTGGCTGGGTTGTACCGCGAGCAGAC